CAGTGTGGGGGGTGCTAGTTTAATCACCCCCGTTTGGCGCGCGACTAACAGAGGGTTAAGTGGGACCCTTAGAATAAAAAGATCCTTATTTGGTTTTCTTTTTTTGTGTCCGCTTATCAAGTTGAACTTTTTTTTTTATTTTATGATTCTTAAAATGCATTTGCCAGCAAACGCCCATGCTCCCTTTAACATTTTTTAAATTTATATCTTATTTAAGTTGATTTTTTGTTATTTACATTTTATGAACTTTGGAATATAGTAAGTGGTTTCAAAAAAAAATTGTTTATTGAACTTATTGTTTTGAGTATGATTATCGGTTAATGAATTTGAATATTTAGTTGAACTTTTTTTGTTTAATTATTACAACTTCAAACAACTTGAAGCACTACACAATATATGCGAATAGCGATAAAGATTTTTATATGGGCTTCAACTTGAAAGTATGATTGGATGTACGTTTAAGAAGTAACTAGTTAGTATTAATATTTTATAAGCATTTGTTGGCCCCGTGTTACAAGTGCTAATTCTCAAGATCTCATTTAGCAATGAAAGTTTTAATATTGGAGTGATTATTATAATTTGGAATCAATGAAGATGAATGATACTGGTTAATTAAAATTTGATATGTTTCATACTTGTAAGACGCATTTGAACAATTGGAGACCACGCATTCAGGTGAACGTCTTTCTTAAAGCAACATATTTTTATTAATTATTCAAGCTTCATATGTTTTGTAAAAATTCTAGGAAGATGTCTAGATTTGAAGCTACTGAATAACGTATTGAAATAATTTTATTTTGAAATTCTTTGAGCATTATTTGGATGGTACATTAATAACTAATAACCTAACCCCTTCCACTGCCAATAACCGACTAAAATAATCGTAATTTTCAAGGATTCTATTAAATCTATTTGTTTTATTAATATAAACAATTTGGATTTTTTTTGTCTAAAGCATCGGAAACTATGACATTGATCATTTTTTGTAGGGGTCATGGTTGTGTTCAAGTAACAAGTGTATATATGGAGCTAGGATTCGTCACTAAACACCCAGGTGGTCACCCATCCGGATGCTAGCTACGCC